TTGTGCTTCAAAGCAAGCCTGGTCAGGAAAGTCCATGAGACTCTTATCTCCATTTAACCACCCCCAAATCCAAAAGTAGAGCTGTAGCTTAAGTGGTAGAGCACTAACTAGCCTTGAGCAAAAGAACTGAGTTCAAGCCACAGACAAAACCAGCACACAAATAAAATCAAATAAAAAATAACAATAAAAAATTTCACAATAAGAATATTAGCAACATTAAAAATATTTAAAAATCCACTTTCAAGCAATAAATTTGCCAAAATATTTTATAGTTTTGAAGCTATATGTGTGTATAGATAGATAGATAGATATAGCACTTCTCAATTTCTGAATGTTTTCCTTGCATCCTTCTTGAGGATATCTGACAGATTATCATCCCTAATCACCCCAGACAAGTGGAATCACTGCCTCGGCCATGTATTGACTGCTTACCCCAGCATTGCTTTCACTTGGCACTACTGATAATTTGAGCCTATGGTATGCCATCCTGTGCTTTGCAGCATCATGGGCCTCTATGCAGTAGATTCCCATATAGATGATGAACAACATCTCCTGGGAACAAAATCTCTGGTTGAGAACCAGTGTCTTATCCTATTCAGAAATCCCTCACCTATTGCAAGGAGTTACATTCCAAAGACCTCCACAATAGGTGAAAATCTGCAAAGTAGCAGCATTATGTTTATCTAATTATTTATATGCATTTTAAGGCTTTTTAAACCCTTTCCACTCTCCTATAAACCTTTCCCACTCTCTTTTAACCTTAATTGACATTTTAATATTTTTATATTGTTTTAATTTTTAGGCAAAATAATTAAAATCATAAATATCATATAGATACCCATACACAGTGCAAAAGGCTGTGATCTAGTGAAAACTGCAATACAGAATTATATCTGAATATATATATATATATATATACACACATATGTGTATGTTTAATACCCATGATAAAGTGAAGCCACAATAAGTGAACCACCATATAGTGAGGACCAACTGTATTTGACAACATTTCATTTGTTTTTGCAGTAAGTCAAGCTATATAAGAGATCTCACAGAAAACAAGCCCCATACAGCCCCATAGACTCAGATGAGGGCACTGCTTACCATGAAGTGAACAGGCTTAACAAAACTGCTTAGAGACATCCTCACCATGTCAACAGCAAGAAGCCATTCCCATTCCTAGAGCTGCAGGGGAAAGAAGAGAAAATTGTTCCTGGAGATCTGGAGTCCAACAGCAGAGGACATCAGGAATGTGTACATTTGTGGCCAGTAATAAGCACTCTACTGGAAAACATGTAAAATATCCAGACCACTCCCTACTTTATCCTTTTGTCACTAGCCTGTCCCACCTGTCCAATCAAAATGAACCCAAATGCAGTCCAACCACTCCCCCTAAAGGGTAAAGTGATGCACCTCCAGGACTCGGCTCCTGTGTACTCTGAAGAGTCAGGCAAATGAAATTTCTTCAACAAATGAAGAAAATCCAAAAGAATCAAAACCATGACCAGTTTAACATGAAGAATGGAGGCTTGTTATTAAATATTTCATCTAAGGCCAAATAGCTAATATGTGGAGCAGGCATTTAAATCCACACCTATTTGACCCCCGACACTACAAGGGCACTATCATACCTGATTTCCATGAATGCATTGATGTCCAACAAGACTGAATTACTCAAGCTTATTGGTTTTAGGTAGTAATTCTCTGAATGGAACCTAGTTCTCATTCCTGTTCTAGTGTTTACTTTGTTACATTGGCCACTAAATGAAATTTAAAAGCTCTGTACACATAATCCTTTATCAAATAGATCCACATAGAAGAAAGGCTGTCAACTATAAACACTATCTGTGGAAGGCTTGTAAAATTCTAGGTTTCCTATAGAATGTTCTGGTGACATATGCTATTTTTACTAGCTGTCCTCATTTTTTTTTCTTTCTGATTGTTAACACAGAGCCCTGCAATGAATACAGGAGGGCAGGCCTGAACATTGGGGGACTTGGGGCTCACTTGGTCATTCCTACCTTTGTAATATCCAGTAATACTTGCCAATAATATATTTTATAAACCTTGTCTTCTCTTTCATAGTCACCTAGACATTCAGTCATTCCCAGGGGTCTTAGTGGGTGGCCATATCTTCAGAAGTCTAAAAGATACTGGATTTTTGTTTTCACCAAGAATGAAGAATCAGGCTTAGAAAGCCTATTACTTCTGGTGGGGTTGTAGCTCAGTAGTAGCACATTTGCCTAGAATGCACAGCCCTACTGCTAGATCCTCTGATCCTCTCCCCATAAAAATAAACTAAGAAAGAAAAGAAGAGAAAAAGAAAGCAGTGGAATTTCACTGAAAATTCCATAGCTTAGAAAGGATGCCATAAAGATCCTATCCTCCATCCTTAAACTGTAAATGCACTCTAAATGCACTCTTCTCTCTTCCACTCTGTGCTTTTGCTGTTTTGTTTTGTTTTTGGTGCCCATCATGAGGCTTGATTTCATGTCCTGGGCTCTGTCCCTGAGCTTTTGTGCTCAAGGCTACCACTCTACCACTCTACCACTTGAGCCACAGCTCTATATCTAGCTTTTTGCTGGTTAATTGGAGATAAGAGTCTCGTAGATATTCTTGTCCTGGCTGGCTTGCAACCACGATCCTCAGCTCCCAACCTCCAGAGTGGTTAGGATTAGAGGCGTGAACCCAGAGCACCTGGCTCACTCAGTGTCTATACTTTAGACAGCCAATTTGTACTGCTTTCTCCAGTAAGTTTTGTCATAAAGTCACATCGATATTGAAGTCTGGGCATCTGTCATTTTTGTTCTTGGGTTATAGGCAAGAAAATAGGATACCTATTTAGTAAGGATTCACAGTTTCTCTTCTTTAGATGAATGCCTTTATTATCTGCAGCTTTTCGGAGACAGGGTTGGTTAGTTTTAAAAGGAGTTATAAAATGAGGGAGGGGGTAACAATGTTCCACAAGAAATGTACTCATTATTATATGTTTGTAACTGTAACCCCTCTGTACGTCACCTTAAAAATAAAATAAAATTAAAAAGAAAACAATAACAAATAGATTCAAATCGATATAGTCTCCCATTTTCTGCTTTTCTCCTGGATTAATTGGATGTTAAGGGCCTATAATGAGGGTCCTAGAAGCAACTCATTTCAGTTCTCTATCATGCTGAGCTTCTTGTTCTCAGCCCTGATTTATTCCTCACCTTCTGGGTTTCTATTTTTACAATATCTTCAGGCTCCCAGTTTTTCATGTTTTCCATATCTCAGGCATAAAAATCAGATGTACAACAAGCAAAATATACTGTCTGAGCTTAATTTTCCCCCAAGTTCTTATTCACCTAGTGAATTCCAAGTGTTATCTGTCCCAGTTTAGAGCTGCAGAGAAGGGAAAGAGAAGAACAAAGAGAGAATCAAGTTTAGATGTTCCAAGTCTGAAAGCAGAAAGGGCATGTGGCTGGGTTGGGGGGGAGGGGCAGGGACGACAACACTGTTAGCTCTACTTTTGCTATCCTTGTCATCTGGCAAAAAGAAAGAAAAGTTTTCAAAGAAAACATTTTCACTGAACAAAAATATCTAGCTATATTTTATCTGTGGTGGGTGATTACTGGTGCTTTGGGACAATGGCTTTATAATATTTATGGTTTTTGTGTATAAGGAAAGGTGGGTGAGCATTACTTTCTATAGAATAGAAATGGAATAGATGAATAGATCTGTACTTGGGTACAGATCCTGGCTTCACCTCCTAAAAGTACTCACTTTGAGGAGATAATCTCCCTTCTGGGGTTTGATCCTCTCCTCACTATTATCGTTTTATAAATAGTATCTATTCCATATGAATGTTTCTACTGTTAAAAAAGTTAAATCTGATAGTATACTTAGAAATGTAGCAACATAGGACACATTGTGCGAATGTTAGTTGTCAGCAGAAATATTTTTTCTATCCTCATCATCCTCAACCATGGACTTCTACTACAGAGACTCTCCATATCCAAGGTTTCCATTCTTCTAATGCAGTTTTTTTTGTTTTTTTGGGGGGGGTCCGGTCGTGGGGCCTGAACTCTGGGCCTGGGTGCTGTCCCTCAGCTCTTCAGCTCAAGGCTAGCGCTCTACCACTTGAGCCACAGCGCCACTTCCGGTTTTTTCTTTTTGCTTATGTGGTGCTGAGGAATGGAACCCAGGGCCTCAGGCATGCAAGGCAAGCGCTCTACCACTGAGCCACTTTCCCAGCCCTGCACAGTTATTTTAAAATCTACTAAATGACAACTGCAGAGCTGAACTATTTGGATTCTTGTAACTGAAGAAATAGTTACACATGTATGGATAATGTGCATTTGTGCTTCCAAACATACAATTTAAGTTTAAATGTTCCATTCTAAGACTTGGTTAGCTTCCTTTTGAACTAATGGTATAGTGAATATATAGAAAGGTTAATTCACAGTGACTCTAGTTGAGTTTGATGTTATTATACAGGATATATTTTCCCAAGACTTTAGGTTAGAAATGACTGACAAAGACATATTCCCAGAGTCAGGATCAGACATAAATTATATGCTACAAAGGTGTCTTCTTATTACCAGAAGTCAGGTCAGCGTCTCAAAACTCACATTAAGTTACTGTTTTTGTGGCTATTGAGTTTCACCCTAGAGAGAATTAAGAGGCCTGAGGATGAAGTACAATAAATCTTACTCTAACCCAAACATAATTAGTGATTAAAATTCCCATTAACCATCCCAATGCTGCTAAAGTAGAAAACTTGTTTTTGCTTCTTATTTACTTTCATGTGTACAAAAGTAGAAAACTCACATGTTTTATTTAAAATGATTATTTGTCTGTTTGATTAATTTGGAGTCAATGCTTTAATTAGATGCTTGAGTTTTTAATTTGAAAAGGGACCAAGCAAAGATTTAGGCTTTAAAACAAAACAAACAAAAACCAGGAGCTATTGGCTCTTTATTTATTTTTTAATTTTTATCTATTTTCTCTGTCTCAATCCCCAGCCTCTGAGCCCAACTTGAAGGTGCGGTCCAGGTTAAAACAGAAAGTGGCAGAGAGGAGAAGCAGTCCCTTACTCAGGCGGAAGGATGGAAATGTCACTTCATTCAAGAAGCGAATGTTTGAGGTGACAGGTAATTGAGGATTGGACAGCCATATACAGTACTAACAAATGCTGGTAGTAGGAATTAAAATGTAGTTTAGAATAAACCTACCCATGGCATATTAAACATTATTTGGAGAAGTGTTTCCTGGTAGGAAATGTTATTGAAAACAGGTCAGTAAACCGTGCTATGCATGCAGGTACTGTGTTGGATCAGAAATGAGTGTTAAAAAACAGAGCTATGTGTCAATCAAGTCACAGCTAGGCAACACCAAAGCTCTCTCTATTTTTTCCAGAAACAGGCAATCCATTCTGGAAATGCCAAATGGGAGAATATGACTTTTAATGAAATCTGATCAGAAATGAGCAGAGGGAGGTCCAAGAAGAACACTCCCCTCTACTCAGACATGAATGTACAAAATGCATCTGGGAAAAGTAAATTGCGTGGAACAGCAAAACTTTGACTTTTCAACAAATTTACAGAACTCATAAATGGCTTTATGTGTTTACTAGTGGACTGGGACTTATGGCAGGAGGGGGGATACATAGCTTTTTATGAAGGGGAAGAAACTGTCATTTTCACTAGTCTCAAATGGATGAGTTTATATTTTTTTAGCTGTCTGGTTAGTAGTGGGGTGAACAGGTTAAGAAATTTAACCTGATGTCTTATACCCCTCCTTTAGTCCCAGTTGGACATAGTTTGAAATCATATAAGGCCTAACAATGCAAGAACCAAAAAAGTCAGCCAAAATTATATGGTCTAGTATGTATGTGTAAATACCACCATGAGCTCTACCTGGGTATTTTCTTTGGTAATATGTAACCATTTTTCTCTGTTGTAAGTAAAACTGTCCATACGCTAGTGAAGCCAGTTGGTATTTGTTCTCCCACATCAGATCTTACCCCAATATGTAAAAAATAAAAAAAAAAATTGTTTCAGCTGGGTTTTGGTGAAGCTAAGATCTGAAGATCTTTGTTTGAAGCCTGCTTGAGCAGATAAATCCCTGAGACTCACATCTCCAATTAACCAGCGAAAAGTCAGAAGTGGAACTGCATTTCAAGTGGTAGAGTACAAGCCTTAGCAAAAATCTAAGCCATAGTGCACAGGTTCTGCATTCAAGCCCTATTACTCCCTCTCCCCCAACCCCACCTCTCTGCCACACACACATACTCACACATTCTTTGTATTTAGTATCTCCTTTGGCCATGTGTCTAGTATAGAGCAGCAGTACAAGGAAAGATTGTAAAAGTCGGTATGGAAAAGCATTCTTGTATAGAGAACACTATTGCAACTTAAAAGTTTGAAGGGCTGTTCAGGATAAAAGCAACAACAACAACAACAAACTCTGTGTAGTCTCTGTCAAGCCCTGATTGCTTGTTATTAGGTAGTGAAGAGGATTTTTTTTTTCACTGAATATACTTGGAATTTTTTGTACTTGAAGGATAAGAAATGAGTAGCAATAAGATTATTTCAGTAGAGCTAATATTTGTTTTCTAATTTTAATATAATCACTAATTTATGCCAGCTCAAGTTTAATTTTGAAATTTGTGGACTTTTTCTAAGAAATATTATTATATATCAAATTGTTAAAAATGCTAGGTAAAGTTTATTAATATCTAACATTGGTGTGGTTGGGGAACTGAAAATTCTGTTTTAATGAAGAAAAAGAATAATGAATATTTCAATTGTCTCATGTGAATGGAAGAGGGTAATGTTTTTAACTGGTTAGAATAGGCAGATATTAACAGAAAACCTCAAGCAAGAGAGAAACATATTTTTGCTTATTTTTTGCTTTGTAATCTTAGTACCAAAGGTCACATTGGTTGATAAAAGTATGCTATTTGGATTTGCTTATCCATCTTTTTCTTGGTCTTGACTTTTGCCATTTTTTATCATGCATGCCTTTCATCCCTGCTATAGAAGAAACATAAATACTAGGTCACAGTTTAGAATAGCCTGGGCATAAACAAAAACCCTATTCCAAAAAATAATCAAAGATGAAAGTGTTGGGGAAATGGAGCGATTAACAGAATGCCTGTTTCTTAAGGACAAGTTCAAGCCGTGGTAGGGAGAAATTTTTTTTCCTGTTTAATATTTTATGAGACTATTGACTTAACGTTCATTTTAGGAAATACTTGAAGCAAAACTTGTATGAATTTAGTAAACACAGATTTCTGCCTACAAGCTGGCACCTGTGGATGCTTCAGTAGATGTTTTTTTTATCGGTTGCACTACACTTACACTAATTGTCTTTGGAGGCTCTGAACTACTGAACACAACTGCTTGCACCTGCACTCCTTCCCATTTCTTGGCCAACTTCCATCTAACTTGGATGAGCTCTGTTTGGATCTTAATAGTAAATATTTTCTAGTATCCAACCAGAAGTCTGATTAACAGCATCACAGCAGTTAAATTGCCATTGCTGTCATTTGTACCATTATATCTTTCCCCTATTTCGTGGGTTCATATCTTACATTGTATTGAAAACCATGCTGCCTTCTCTTTCTATTAATATATGAAGCCACTTGCTATTTTTAATTCTTTTCCAATTTCATGAGCTTTCTGCCTCTCCCTCTCCTCAAGGCCCCAAACTTTGATTCACTCCTATACTGGCAGTTTCTTTTCTGCCTCTCTTCTTTTTATGTTTATGAACTACAGCTCCAATATCTAAGCTTTCTCAGTGTCCCTAGGAAAGCAAATGCTGGGTTCTGCGTAGTATGATGCTGCAGAATCCTCTTATAGTAGATGATGCGTGAATTCTGATGTTTATTGCAACAATTTCTACATAGGAAATACTTTGGTCTGAATATAACATAACCTACTATAAGTGACATAATTTAAAATTGGTTAGAAAGAATGTTTAAGAAAATTGCAAAGAAAGAAAATATGGAAATATGAATGATATATAAATGAGACATTAATGCGAACTCATACTTAATGATACTGGAAATATAATAGGTTTGTGTTAGGGACAAGGAGCTTCTGTAAGAACAAGAAGAGTATACATTTTCTTTTCTTTGCTTAAAACAAAACAAAACCAAAAACAGATAAAAAGTGAAGATGGTAAAAGACCAGATGACTCAAAATGAAAGCAAGATAGATAGGTTGAATTTTATAAGGCCGACTATTTGTTATAATGAATGACAATTATCAGAATCATGTCACAGATTTCCAGTTCTTTCCATGGCACTGTGAGTAGAGGAGCATTTATAACAGAAATTTGTAAAGTGTAAAAGTTGTCTAGTGGGAGAGCAAGAAAACATTGTGTGGAAGTTGGGAGTTTCTGTTCTCTGGAGAACAGATAATACATAAGCCAGAATCAGAGTCTGCAGGTGGAATTGGGCCTCCAATGAAGTCAGCAAAGCAGAAGAGGATAAAAAGCATGAAAGAGGAAAGCATTTATTGCTAGAGAGAGTGACTTCTTTCTCTTGGCTGAGTGCAAAAAACTCAACATTTACACATAATAATAGGCTTTATTTTGGAGCAGGGGCCTCTGGTGAAAATTGTCTTGAGGTTCTTCTGAAAAGAGTCTGGGAGAAATTTTTGAGACTGCTGTAGCAACTAAGGAATAGTTGAAGACTTTCACCATTATTTATGAGAGAACAATGGGAGCTCTGAGAGAAATGATTATAGTTTATCATCAGTGGGAAGAACAAACTGACATAACCTAAAGGAGGGAATTGGGGTGACTTCAAGGATAAGATAAAATAGACATAGGAAAAAATAATATTAAAATATACTTATTTGGACACATCTGTAATAGAAGGCTCAAAATATCAAGTATTCTGGAGGTACTCAGGCTGAAATTTAAGAGAATTAAAAGCAAGAAATATAACTTCCGCAAGGGCATGCTGTCTAAAATTACATTGAACGCCACAATATTGAGTGATTTTGACAAAGGAAAGAGAAAAGGGAGAAGGACCACAGCTTAATTGCATATATTTAGGAATTGGTCGAAGGGAGAAAGGAAAGAGCTAAGGAATCATGAATAAAGAAGTAGAGAATATTTCTGTAGGAAAGATTAAGAAGATGAGGTTTGTTTTGTCAAATTTCAAATTTGGTGACATTTGAGAGAACAGTTGCAGTTACTAGTGAGTAAGCTGTAATGCCAGGGCTGGAAGGAGTGCGTAGGCACTGGCAAGCACACTGCTCCTCAAGAATAATTACCATGCTACCAGACTGGGGAGGGGGGGCAATCCCAGAGGGAGGGAGGCCTTGGAAGATTCAGAATAATGAATGAGGATAGTAGTAGAGGAGGCGGCAGAGCACTGGGTGCTAATACTGGAGAAGAGAAGGAAGAGAAATGACTTGCCCGAAATGGGTAAGGAGAGTATAGGTTAAAAACAAACAAACAAAACCAACCAACCAAACAAACACCATGAGATAGAAAAGGTGCATGTGGAAATCAGATGGAAGCTTCACTTTGTAAAGCAAGAGACAAGAGCAAGTCTGCAGACTTGGCTAGCACAGCATAAAGATGAGGCAAAGAGAAAAAGGTTGAAACAAAAAATCTGTAGAAAGAAAAGGAAGGAATTAGAGTTCAGTGAATAATATTCCAAAACATGATTTAATGATCTCTCTAATAGTCTTTCTAGCAAGATTTTTATTTTTAATTAAATTTTTAATAAATATATTAGTTTCGCTATAATTTGGAGTCCATGTGAATTTTATTTTTCAAGAGGAAAGATATTAGTAAATTTTAAAAAAGAGTATTAGTAAAATAGTATTTTTATCTGACATTGCTTAAAAGAATTTATTTTTATATTAGTGTTAAAATATTTACAAGTCATATTAAGACAACTTTTCATTTCCTAAAGAATTATTGGGTACAGTTAATGTCAACTAATATGTTACAAGGCTGTCATTGTAGTGTTGAGATATTAACATTCTATTTTCTTCATACAATCTTGATTCACACAGGCTATAAGAGATAACCTTAATATATAATTTAAGCAATTTTTCCTATCGCAGCAGGGATTGCTCTGAGTCTTTCTTCAGCATTGATGGCTTGCTTTTGTTATGTTCAAAAAACTCTTATCTTTTTTATTTTTCATGGTAACACAATAATAAGTAAGGGAATATTCTTTGTTTGCTTTGATTTTTTTTTCCTTTTTAATCATATCTATGATCCTTTCTCACTGGATGTATTTGCTTCTGTAGAAACTGTTGAATACTATGGCATGTTTTTGTAGTGGGCACAAAGGTGAGAAAAACAGTATGAAGTCTAGAAACATTCCATATGTTTTCCTAGTTTTTTAAGTGAAACTGTACTTACTGTTCATAGAGAGATAAAATAAAGCATCACCTAAAGCTATGTAGTGCAGCAGTGAAGTTCATCCTTGCATATACTTTGTTATGAATGCATTTGCACTTACAATATTTTTCAGAATCCTCAGTCAGTAGCAGTTCTCCTGGGTCTGGTCCCAGTTCACCAAACAATGGGCCAACTGGAAATGTTACTGAAAATGAAACTTCAGTTTTGCCCCCTACTCCTCATGCTGAGGTAAGTTCATTGTTAGTAATTGGTTCCCTGATTAGCTACCTAATCCACAATAGTATTTCTGAATGAAATTTCCTATATTACAAACTTGTAAGAGAAATAGTGTATATTTATGAATGTATAGAAAGTTGTGTTTAATAATGTTTTCTTCTTGAGACAGATCTATGGTATTGAGTAAATGTGGTTGTATTGATAAATGGCACAATTAGGGACATTTGGATGATATATAATGTTTGAAAAATACTGAGATACAATTGTCAAATAAAATATTCTCCTTGATCTCAAATATGCACTGTCCAATCAGTGTACAAATTCATAATCTTGCTTGATCACTGGTTATTTTTGATGATAGTACACACATGAGTAAGTTGAAACAATTTCACATGGAATTCCAGAATAACAGCTAATAAGGTGGGTTTTACTCATTTGTATGCAGTGCAATGAAAAATAATGGAAGTTTACACTGAAACAGGAAATCCATGGAACCAGCATTTACTGAGCACCTGCCACATACCAAATCTTGTGCTGTCAATTGGCATAGAACAGAAAATATTATCTGAACTCTATTCTTGAAAGTAACATATGAGAGGAAAATACTTTAAAATAACATTATTATAGTAAAAGAAAGGAAATCTGAATTTACATATCTTCTGAATTAGGCTGAACAAAGGTATCAGTATAGAAGTGGCAGCTTTTTGAATATCATTGTTTTGAAGTTACTATTCGTTGACTAAAAGCATGTGCTTTTGTTTCCTGTCATTGTAATACCTTCTTCACTATGCACTACTCCTCTAGAGGCAGAGTTGCTGTGATAAGCTCTCATAAATAGCTATGGCATGTTTCTTGCCTACTATTTTACAGAATGCTTGTGCTTCTGAGACTGATCACATCTTTCACTCATAGATTAGGCCTATAGATTTCTCCCTTGTTTATCTCCCCTTTTAACAGACCACTTCTGCCTATGGAGAACTCACATTGCTGTCTCTTGACACAGTTGATTTTAAGGGATTATTTTGACTGAAAGAGTTTCCTGCAGATATTGTTGAGATGCCTATTGTTTTATATTACATGTGCAGTACATGCACACACAAACAAAACTCTGCATATATACAATGTATGATTAGACATTATGAAACTGTTAGGCTGAAATGCAAGTAAAAATGGAAACCTAGGGATTATCCTTCATAAAGGACTGAAATCAGGGAAGTCACTTTTGCTTTGAGGATATTTGCTTTCTTGAGTTTTGAGCTTTGGTTTTCATGGCCTAATAAAATTCAGGAGATAGTAGAGAAAGCACAGTGTTAACAAAGGAAGAGCTTACAGGAGACCCTCGCATCACTAGGCAGGGATCCCAACCATCCACGCTACCTTTGTGAGATGCTCTCTCCATCCACAGCCATCTTGATGGGAGTAGAGCTTAAAACATTGACTCAGTGAAGATCATGGACCAAATCATGTCAACTCAGGAAGTTAATTTGATTTACAGTGGCTCCACATTTGTTGTCCCTCCCCTACCAAATGCCTGCAAAAATGCAAATGTGAATTCTTTCCAGAGATACACGTCTTCATTCTAGGTTTCATTTTTTTCCCCTCGAATCAATTTTCAAAAGATAGATGGTTTTCCTTATGACCATCTCTCAGCTCCACAAGGAATAATATTTCAGCTCTGGACATTATCTGTAGGACCTTCATCTGCTTCCTGTTTCTAATCATCCATCACCCCTCTTTCTCTTTTTTGTTATTATTATTTTTAAAATATGACAACAGTTGGCAATAAATTCTACAGGAATTTTGTGATGAGAGACAATAGTAGGTTTATTTTTAAGTATTATGTTTTAGTGAATGTAGTTATAGTCCAATACTTGTCAATTTTCTGAAACACTTTAATCAATTTCCTGGAAGAGAACAATTTGATCACGTACATATTTTTAAAAAATCTTAGATATGATTTTTTTCTAAGTTTGAATAATGTAATTCACAATACTTCATGAACATTAGAGGGTCCAGGGCTAGTGAGTCTTTGGATGGATTTTATTTTTTTTTTTTTACCATTGGAAAATGAGAAATACCCATTACCCTTAATTCAATGTCTGAAGTCCTTAGAGGGGCATTGCCAACACAGTAGGATTCAGGAGGTCACTTACGTGCTGTAGCTTTACATTTTATTAGGTTCTCAAATAATACTACAGTACTTTAAAGTAGCAAGAGAGTGATGGACACAAAATTTAGTATGATAATTACATTTCAGGATAGAAAAAAGGGGAAAATATGAGTTGATACTAAAGAAGACACACCTACATATAAATACATACATATAGTACTTTATACAACATATAAACATTAACGTATACACCTTGGTGGGTTGAAAATAAATGGAAAAAGTGGGATTTTCCTTTTTGGCCTATTTTCTCTTTTATGACCTATCAAATTAAATTAAATGGCTATCTTAGACTATCTGACATTAATTTTAAAGATATATGTGTACATGTGCACACATATATATTTAATTGAAAATATAATTAAGAGAAATTTGCTCATATTATTTTAATCTGTGGCATATCCCTAACTGTTTCATTGTCACAAGTTACCTCTTTGCATGCCCTGGGTATTCAGCTAATGGTTGAATATATTCTGTCACTGTAACCCTTTCCTTCCTCCCCCACCATTCACAAAAGAAAAACAAAACAAAACATAAGGAAATGTGATTTAATGGAGTTTAAAAGGGTAGAGGTGTTTCTTCAGGTCATTGACAGGACATTCACCTCCAGAGCTGGGAAGACTAGTTCAAAAGCAAGCAGTGACTTACCTCATAATGAATTAATTGTGTGCCTGAACTATGATCCAAAAGGCCAGGTGGGCAGACCTTTCTGCACTGATGGGTAGCCTCTCTGTGGCCCAGAACAAAAAATGCAATCCTGATGGCTACCATGTGTTTTCTGCTGGGTTCTGTTTACAGAGGTCTGTAGTGTAATCCATTCTGGGTAGGAAGGGAGGCAGCAGAGTTCAGACCAAGACCCTCAGTAAAGTAATATCCTAGCGTTGTAACACTCAATGCTGCCAACTAGAGAAACTAGAGAAAGAAAAATGTCCTAAGCCATACTTGGTTAGCCATCCTCCAGAGTTTTGTATGATGTTTTTTCAGCTATCTTCTAAGATTAATACCAATAATATGTGATCTTGTTTCAATAGAAGTAATTTTAGGTACCAAGTATTTGTATCATTATTTGCATAAAAACAAAACCACAAAAAAGTATATACTTCATCATTTGCAAATTAGGCTTGTTCTGCTGTCTTCACTGAAATAGCATAGGCTAGTTTAGTTCAGGGGTGATATATATTTGAATGAACTCTATTATATGACGTGTAAGTGGGCTACCTCTTTCAGAGCCCATGTGAGCACACAGGATTCTATCCGTTGTGTTGCTTAGGAAATAGGAGCATGAGGCCCTATCTGAAGTTCTTGAACCCTTCATGAATGAAAATATTCCATACTGTAGTTCAGATATCTTATCTATTTTAGATAAAAGAAAGACAGAGGTTGAAGGAGAATTCAATGTTGAATTCATAATGCAATGCTCAGGAAACAGCAGAGTGTAGGTGAATTCATAGGTGTTCCGGTCACCAGGCAGGGTATGAACTCTGCTGGAGAACCAACTAGTTTACTGTCATTAGCTGTGTCTCCAAACTTCCCCGGATCCCTAGATTTCTAACCTAGTTTTAAAAAAAAGGTAGTTAGACTGTTGACAACTTTGTTGTAAGCGCTGTTTGGAAGGCAGGTGGCACGTTGTGAAGTTTGAAAGAAGTACATTTTTGTTTTTATTATCAGTGCTGACTCCTGGTAGGGAGAACTCATTAGCTTGTTTGTCTCCAAGCCAGCAATTCTCATGTGAGAGTGAGCCTCCATCTGCTCTGACCACTTATGTTCTACTTCTTCTATTTCTTACATATGCTCGGTCCCAGAACTCAGATGGTTGAGCTACTTGCTCTACTCATTTGTAAACTTGGTTGGGAAGCTGAAGCCTCCAGGGTTGCTATTTCCGAGTTCTATTAGAGATGTCTTTACCTATCTAGTTTCTTTATTGCTAATGTTATGGGTCTGTGGGTTAAAATATGTTTCCATGGATATCAGCACCGTGACTTTAAATTTGGTAAATTTCTTTGATAGCTATTTTAATAGTAGCCAAGCTGTTGGTTTATTTCTTGTTGAATATTAGTGATTTCTTGTTGAATATTAGAGATATCTGTTTCCTGCAGATACAAATGATTTTTTAAAATGGTTCTAATGATAAGCTTATGTGTTCTTAAATCATCTGAAATGTCACTTGTTTTGCTCCAATCTTAAATGACTCATCCACCTATTGTTTTGTACTAGTTGTTGTGATATTTTTGTAAATATAGTGTTTTCTTCTGAGTGGGTGTAGAGCTGTGATTTTAGATGACAACAAGGAAAATACACACACACACACACACACACACACACACACACACACACACACACACACACACACACACCTGGGAAAAAGATGGCCCCTACACAATAACCAATAACCATTTACTAACAATTATATGAGTCAGTATTTTAAAATGAGATCTTTATCAAACCATAAATGCAGGGTGTGAAAATCACCCAAATAAACCCTTTCAAATGATTAGTTTGGGTCTCAAAACTCACTTTATGACATATACATCAACTGAAAAGATATGTTCTTGAGTTTGCAGAGAAAAGTATGAAAACTTAGACTTGTATTGCCTAAACAACTCAACTGTAAATCATGTTGAACTTTAACTTTTTTGTTCAACTACTGAAAGGAGGAATAAATACAGTCTTGAAAAATAGCACTGAAAGTCATAGTCGAACATTAAATGAATAAAGAATAATTTTTAAATGTTTCTCTAAAATATCTTGATTCAGGACTTTGAAACTTTTTAGATTCCAAGTTGACTAACATTTATAAACACATCATCCTGTGTGTCATTCAGATCCATATGAATATTAGAAATAGTCAGAGGTGTGTCAAGCCAAGGCTGAAGAAAACACTAATGGCTGATAGACTCACAGCAAGTGAGTGGAAGAGCTCAAGTATCAGATATGTAGACCAAACTTCTTTTCACTACTCTGTACTTGTCACCAAAACTTTTTTTTTTTTTTTTTTTTGGGTCTGGTCGTGGGGCCTGAACTCTGGGCCTGGGTGCTGTCCCTCAGCTCTTCAGCTCAAGGCTAGCGCTCTACCACTTGAGCCACAGTGCCACTTCCGGCTTTTTTCTTTTTGCTTATGTGGTGCTGAGGAATTGAACCCAGGGCCTTGAGCATGCAAGGCAAGCGCTCTACCACTGAGCCACCTTCCCAGCCCATTGTCACCAAAACTTTATGATAAGAATTTTTTTTTACTTTTCCATTGCTCATGCATATTATAGGTAATTTTGAATTCATGGTAAACTGAAAATTGTGTTTTTACTTTGCGGTGAACTTCTTAAAACTTGATGATTAAGTTATGTTACTAGTATCCCATTGGATATCATCAGTTGACTAATTGTCCTGTTAGGCATAAACAAGACATTCATTTATCTGTCTGTCTCCCTCCCCTTCCCCTTCATTCCTCATTTCTTTCTGCTTCTTCATCTTGTTTCTCTGCTACCATTTTTCCTTGCCCTCACAAGTAGTCATTCTCTCTGCATTTTGGTGCTATGGGTATTTTCATAGTATGCTAATTTTTTATCTGTGCCTTATGAATTTTTGGGTTCTTAAGTTCATTTCCTTTCTTTATATCACTAAACATGATTTTTAGGACTAGTTGCATCTTTATGGATGCTAGTAATCACACACACACACACACACACACACACACACACACACACACACACACACACACACACACACACACACACACACACACACACACACACACACACACACACACACACACCCCATGCTGGCACTGCTTCGTTTTATCCAGGTAGATGTGAGGCAGGCTTCAACTCATATGCATCATCAGAACATGCTTTAGTATCTACCATGGTCATCATGACGGTCTAGTGAAAGGATTTCTTATGGTTTCTAGCACATAGGAGTCATTAGGCCCTGGTGAATAGCATAAGTGCTGGAGTTTATAGGGCAAAATCATTCATAAGAATTCCTGTGTTATTCTACAGTCTTACTGGCAGTATGTAAGAGGTTTTGGTTCTCTATATTCCTGCTTTTGCCATTGTCCATTTTGGGAAAGTGAGTCTTTTACTTGAGTCTTTTACTTGAAACTGGTATCTTCTTAATTTCAGTTGCTTACTAAATAGTTGTATTGAGAGACACACAATTTTTTAGTCTATGTGTTTTCTACTCATCTGAATTATAAATATCATCTATAAGTTATTCTTCCACTTGATGTGATGTTAAGAAAAGTGGTTATATATAATTTTGAAGGCTCTTACTAAAATGGGAGTCAATGTCTTCTACCCCAGTTCTAAACACTATTCCTATTTCTCATCTCAAAATTCTGCTTCTAGAGAGCTGCTAGTGACCCAGGAGAGCCTAGTTTTAAAATTATACCCTCTTCTGTGCTATAAAAATAGCATAACCCTACTTTAACAACAGGGTTTATGATGGCACATTCAAATTCATTCCTCTATTTTTCTGTATGCCTGACTAATATGGATTTTTGAGGTCTAGGGCATCTTTATATACCTAGAACTCAACACCATCAATTGAACACAGAGCAGTTAATCATTATAGCAAGTTATGTGAGAGTTATATCAGATACTCTATTTCCATTTCATTTCCAGTTATGAAAATTTTCAGATTAAATCTAACTTTTCTTTGTTCAAAGACTTGAAATGTCATTTTTAGTAGCACAGCACTAATTAATGTCGGATCACTTTAAAAACTGATTGCTGAAAGAACCCTGGTTTTACAAAAAAGTCCTTGTGGATGCCACCACAGTGCTAACCCCGGGTAGCCTTCTGGCCTTGCAAGAATACCAATCGGTCAGACTCCTTCATTGGCTTGGTAGGATGTTTCTCTCACAACCTGTCTGCTGTCTGCACTGTTAGAAGTGGAAGATATGGTTCTGGACTTTAGTAAGAAGCATAGCCTAGAACAGATATTCCTACCAAAAATGCTTAGCTGAGTGACGTTGGATTCGATGAAGGCAATTTGAGAAAAGGTGGAGTTTCGTTTTCAGTACTGTTAGATGTGATTCTAGACAGTGAAAGTCTATAAAACCTCTGTTTCTGTTTCTTATCTGCATTTAGATTTCAGTTAAGCAAATCCCAGACCCCTGGATGTTCTAGCATATGATGTCATACCTGTCAGTTTCTGTGGAAAGAACCAGCTATGCTTGCAGACACAAGGACAGAACTTCCTCTGCATCCTTAGGAATTGTCTCCATCATGTATCACATAGCCTCGTGTCTATGAAGTTACTGGGGCTTGCTTTTCGCATGGAACACAGGGAGCTCCTCCTGTTTCTCCTCTCTCTACTCGCCCTCTCCTACAATGCCCATCGTTCTTTTGTCTTCCAAGGCAGCTGAGGAATGGTGTGGGCGTTTGGAGGCAGCACCCAGGTGTTCTTGATGGTCCCACCAGACAGCAGGATGCTCTGCTCACTTTTCTTGTTTTCCTCATCTTCACCATAAGCAACATGGTAGCTTGAGAATGCTCATGAAGAATGGGTTCAACCTCAAAGGGCCCCTGGCAGAGGATGTGGCATGTGTTAGCTGCCAAAATTCAGCATACTGCTATCTGATATGGAACAGCTGATGTTCGTAAGATTGCAGGCCCCTGCAGTCTCCAGCTGAGGAATAGCCCCCATTCCTTTCACTTTACTCAAAGTCAATGTGAGGGGCCTGCCAGCTGCTTTGCCATTACCACGTGTGAGAAGAAAGTTATTTCTCATTTCAGTGTGTCTGCTTCCTGCGATTAGGTGAGAGGCTATCACAGACATTCTCTACGGGAATCTGATAACCTCTTTCGTGAGGGTGGTGGCATTGTGTATTTGTGTCCTTGCGATAATCCAGGACAAATCAGCAGTATGAGAAGCAGGCACAACCTTGAATGAATATTATCTATCAAAATATTTACCCTGTCACATTCACTTCTTTTCTATGAATACAGATCAGTGAATAGTCTGTCTTTTTATTTTTGATTACTGACTACTACAATTATAATAATACATAATTTATTTTATTTTTGGTCTACATTCTTATCAGGCATATTCTACACAAAAAAATTATGTTTTTGTAGAAGCAAAATCGTTGCTTGGCTTTTTTGCTTAAGGCCAATAGACAAATATTGTGAATAACTTCTCAGTTGTTTTTTCAGTCAGTGACCATGGTTTGGTATTTTAAACAACTTTAACTCTATAATACAAAATCAATGTAAGGTTAATTGTTCACTGTGCCACTTGATTTTCATGCAAAAAAAAATCTACATTAAACTGGACTGCTAAGATGCCACAAGAAATGGCCACATTTAACCTCCTGGTCTTATTATGTTAAGGGCAAGACTCATCTCCAAACAGCCGTATGACTGAGATGATGTTTTGGAATAACATCCTGTGTTTTGGTGGTGCAGCACTCTTCAGTGACATGCTGAGGTTGCATTGTATTAGCACATGATATTTTCCCCAGTTAATTGATATCCCAGGTTTGTCCAGAGGAAAATCTATAGCTCCCCCAAACATGCTTGACAAGTTATTATATTTACTTTAGTCAAAGCCCGTGTGTGCAATATCCCTCTTGGAGGTGGTCTATTATTGGAGTCCCATATGCTTTTTGTTTGGGAAGAAAGCAGTCAGTGTGTCATACTGTTACATGGCGTATTCTTTTTCAGGGATGTTGTTCCCTTGGGAACCATATCAGGCCAGAGTTCCTTAGTCTAATAAGACCTTTGTAACTCTTACTGTATAAAAGTTCTGGGAGGGAAGCAAGAGTTAAACAGAAAATGTAATTCAAGCAACCATATTAGGCCACATGTGGGAAAACATGACTCTTAGTATTGGATTAAAAAAAAAACACAAAAATAAGGCTATTTATTGTAAAAAAAAGTGCTGAAATGCCAAAATATTCTGTATATTTCAGCATAAGTGGAGGTTGTTATGGTGTACAGAACTGATAACATTTCTAACATTTACTTTAATTTCTAAAGATAAATGATCTTAATTAAAACAGGAATAGTTGACTTCATGAATTTTTATACTAAGTAGATGTGCTTATTACAGATGCTTTTGTGGTGGTACTTAATATAAGACTTTCAGATCTGCTTTTCCTGGGTAAAACAACAAACTCACATGAAGTTCATGACAATGACATTATATATAATTTTTTTATTTGCTAGTAGACAAGGTTTACAAACACTTGTGAGTATGACCACATTTGATTATGTAACTTTACCAGCAGGTAAAAACTATATATATGGAGTCTAGAAAGTTTTTAATTGCCTTTTGCAAAATGAACTTGGGAGTCTTTTCTTTAGATTTCTATCATTGTCTGAAGAAGACAGAATTTTTTAATTCTTACATTGTAACTCCTCAATACAGAAATCACAAAGCAAGTACTGACCTTTATTCTTATCTACAATCATGCAGAGCTTGGTTTATCAAAGGCAACCGTTTTATGTTCGTATTCTTGACACTGTGATATTTTGAAAATCTTTAAAAACTTTATGCATTTTTTCACAGCAACTGGTTTCACAGCAGCGCATCTTAATCCACGAAGATTCCATGAACCTGCTAAGTCTCTATACCTCTCCTTCTTTGCCCAACATCACCTTGGGGCTGCCGGCAGTGCCCTCGCCACTCAGTGTAAGTTTGGGCACAGTCTCAGCTTAAACAGCCCCGCGGACATTTTCATGTGCAAACTTCCTTTCACTTTCTGTACATGCAGATGTTAGAAAACGTGTTAGAGTCAACCATCCCTTCGTTATTTGCTTTTTGCTTCATTCTGATGTATTCAGATTAGTTTCAGGTTACAGAATTATATGGTTTCAAAGAGTCATATATAAAACTAGCTAGCATTCATATTATAGTTTACATCTTAAAAATAAATACTCTCCACATTACCTTAGTACAGCCCACTACTTTATGGAAGAAAAAGCTGAGGGAGACAGGAGGATAGAAAAGTCCAGATAACAAACCAGTAAGTGGTAGAGCTGGGGCACACTCCAGGTCAGTACTGAGAGTTACAGCTTCTAAAAAAAACCCCAAACCCACTGTAACATATGTTTATGAAGTTTATTTTGTGAATGACTTTGTTTTGGGAATTACCAAATGTATGGTAAAGAAATATATATCTGGAAAAACCTCTCCAAGAACAACAGTACACTATTCCTAGGAGATTAGAAGTGAATTAGTTTAAAAATCTTGACAACTGAAATAGGATTTTTTTGAAAGAGGTAATTGTCCTACTAGCAAAAGATAGCAGTAATTATTTGATGCATATTCTAAAAAATAATATAAGTGTTAGTGGTTGCAAAGGACTTACAGCTTTATGTACAGTATTACTTATCTCTGAAAAGTTAGTTAAACTGTGTACACATAAAGGTTATGTGATGATTTAGGTTTAAAGAGTTTCTCTGTTGTCATTTATTTTACAGTCATTCACAGCAAGTATTTTACTGAGCCCAGTGTATTAGATTCACCTATTTTTCAATATATAGATATATATTTATAGAACCAATATATGGGTTTTTAAAAACATCAAATTTTGTATTTTATTCTATCTGTATTTTTAAGAGTGTCTTGCTGGCTTATGTGTTACTCTGGTCTTAAGCCAAATGTGATTTTGTATCTGGAGATTAAAGAAGAAAGGCTTTCGAATCCTGCCTTCAGACCTGCCATTGAAAAACCCTCATGGAATATTATTTAAAAATTAATACAAGTGGGGAAAAAAAGACAATTAAGATCGATACCAAAAATAAAGTTTTAGATAACTTTTTCCTCAATTCCTTTCTTTTCCCTAGTATAAATAAATAAATACTAAACCTCAGACTTCTTTTAATATACAAGTAGCCATTTTGTTGTCTCTACTTTTTCTCTGCTCTAAGATACTCCTCTTTTACTAACTCATACATTGATACCACTTTTAATGTGGTCAGAGAAAATGTTTCCCCAAAGGACCAAAAACTAAAGCCAGACCATTTAATGTTTCGATGGTAATACAATTTGGTACCACTGGATGAATAAACCAATGTGGTTTGGATTAAAGTTTCATTTTTCTTTGCTTCCATTTTGGTGTGGATGAGGCCATCAGAGTTAATTTCTCAAGCTTAGCATTGCTCTTCTAGAAGGATCTCTAATATCCCATTTCCCCACTGAATAGTGGGAAAATTTGAGAAAAAGGGGCCAGCACCAGGCATCACTTCTAGATTAAACATTGCACTGACTTGCTCTGTGACTCAGACAAACCATTTACCTCTTTGTCCTTCAATTTCTCCATCACTGAAAATTGCTTTGCCTCCCTGGTGCACAGCAATTTTGAAAGATGAAACATGAGTTCTGAAAAGAAACACGCCACGTAATTTTGAGGTATTAGACTTCTGCTTTTGTAATACCAAAATGACCATCATTCATTACATTATTTGAATAGGATAATTCATTATTACTATTGATGATATAATTGTTATTGCCTTATTACTGTGTTATCATAAATTTCAAGATCTTAATAGCCTTTTTATTTGATATTTGATTTCACTTATAGTTTACTTTTACATAAAGTATCTAGACTGTCATGTTTAATGTATAGAGATTTGAAGATCTGTTATGAATTATAAAATACAGGCTTAAATGAAATTCTTGCATATTTTGTACCTCCTTTCATTGAGTTGTTTTAAGAATTCTGCTTTAAAAATTAAATATTGGAAACTTATAGCTTTAGAAAATTATTAGAGGATGTGAAGAGAATGTGTGCTTTGCTTCTTTTGCTTGAAATTTTATGTTTACAGGTCTTTTTTATCTTAATCCCTATGAGATACACTCTGTAGTTTAACTGTAAGGATAAATTTTACCTTTTCAGCATATACTTTACTTAATTGGTGTGTTATAAACTATTTTAGGAATAAAATTCCTACCTCTTAAACTTGAAATTAGCATCATCGTTAATTTTTATTAACATATAAAAATTGTATTTTCATTATGGTTTGTTATTATTTGCTTACATATGTGAATGACTTCATATATATCATATATATATCAATGACTGGATAGATATAAATAACATATATAAATATATATATACATAAATATGATCTTAAACCATTATATATAAAAATGAATTTGGCTAGTTACCATAGTCTTCTTCACATATTTATTTTGTGGGGATGGTGAAGACCCTTCGCTTCCACTTTATCAACAGTGTCCAAATTTATTGAAAATTATTTGTGGAACAGTGGTCACTATCGTATGTAAATAAATAATAGGCCTCCTGAACTTTAGCTAAATAAATGTTTTATTTCATGTTTCAATATAAAAAAATTGCCTTAGATTCAGTGCAACAATATTCAATTACTAACTTGTTTTCAGTGCTTCAATCCTGTTTTTTTATTTCTTCTTTATAAATTCAGCTAGTTAAAAAGCATAGTGTTATCCACTTCCCTGATCCAGTCATTGGTAAGACAGCTTTTGGTTTTGGAAAACCATAGCATAAGAACTTCATCTCATGATATAAGACCCAGAGCCCCACTGGATGGGAGATTGACATCTTCATTTTTTCTTGACACAGGCTTCAAATTCACTTAAAGAAAAGCAAAAGTGTGAGACACAGACGCTCAGGCAAGGTGTTCCTCTTCCTGGCCAGTACGGGGGCAGCATCCCAGCCTCATCAAGCCATGCTCATGTCGCCCTAGAGGGGAAGCCCAACAGCAGCCACCAAGCTCTCCTGCAACATTTATTACTGAAAGAACAAATGCGACAACAAAAGCTTCTTGTGACTGGTAAATGAATCATGGCACCATTGACGGTCCTTTTAGACCTTACCTTTCATTGGTCCAGTTTAACATCTCTGTAATTCGATACCTTCTTAATGATTTACTGTGCATTATAAAGGTCATCCTGACTTTTAGTACTATAGAAAGGCCAAAATCCTTGTTATTCCCCCAGATTCATGAAGGGGGCTTGTGGAGGAAACTCACCTCATTTGACAACATCACACGTACCAGTCTGGACCCCTTCTGGTTGACAAGGTCAAACATAAACCTGTGTATGACCTTGCTACTTGGTCTTCTGCAACCATCCTAGCCTTAAGAAGTTTGCTGACAAATGGCTTCTTCTCTCCTTAAAATTACTTGTGTATGCATCTCTGTTTACACTGGCATACAAATACATGCACATTTTTTTCAGGTGGAGTCCCCTTACATCCTCAGTCTCCATTGGCGACAAAAGAGAGAATTTCACCTGGCATTCGAGGTTCCCACAAATTGCCCCGTCACAGACCTCTGAATAGAACCCAGTCTGCACCTTTGCCTCAGAGTACATTGGCTCAGCTGGTCATTCAGCAGCAACACCAGCAGTTCTTGGAGAAGCAGAAACAATACCAGCAGCAGATCCACATGAACAAAGTAAGCCACCAAGTGAAAATATATAACCATTGATCTCAGTGGTATGTGTAGATAAAAGGAGAACATTGGAATCAATCAAAATCCAAGAGAGATTATCATCTTAGCCCACCTCTCTGGACTCAAGGACATCACCACACTGTCTCTATTTGTGCCATCATTATGTTTATGGCACATTTGTAGCAAAAGACTGAGATCCCAATTAGCAAGATATGTTATGATCGATTGTCTGTTTTCATAGATAACCATTCAGACATATGCTATAAAGCCCCATATTTTTTGCAAAAATGGCAAGAGGCAGAGTTGAGCATGTTAGGTTAAGTCAAAAAAGTTTCACAGTTGGCTGGGTGCTGGTGGCTAATGCCTGTAATCCTAGCTACTCAGGAGGCTGAGATCTGAGGATCGTGGTTCAAAGCCAGCCCGGGCAGGAGAGACTGTGAGACTCCTATCTCCAATAAACCACCAGAAAACCGGAAGTGGTGTTGTAGCTCAAGTGGTAGAGCGCTCGCCTTGAGCTGAAGAGCTGAGGGACAGCGCCCAGGCCCAGAGTTCAAGCCCCACGACCGACAAAAAAAAAAAAAAAAGTTTCACAGTTGCTAATAAATAGGACAAGCTTATCCAATAAGATATTTCTTTGCGACGTGTATATCCCTAGGATGTACTTATTTTTTTAGTGCATTCATTTCATTTCAAAAAGGATTTGTAGCAATTTTGCTGGGACATGTGAGAGTTTCTTTGTGACAGCCTTATTGTGCCATAGCTTTAGGAGTAGGCCTGCTGAAGCCACAGCAAATAGTGATTCCAATACAATGATATTAGGTTGCTAGTGCACTTTCTATGAACTTGTAGGTGAAGTAATCTTTTTGTCTCTTTTGCCCTGTGTCATTTCCTACTATCTATAGAGATATATTATATGGATAAATAGACAGCTACAATTTGGCTTTGAATTAAGAGCTTTATTATAATATAAAATAAATATTATAAAACTTCCCAGGCAATGATCTGAGCACCTTTCTAATGGCACTAGGAGAAAGAATCTTTATCACATGCTGGGGTGACTGCAAACATGGTTGAAGTTCTTCTCGCTTTGGCCTTGTCATGGAGGAAACATGGGCTCCAGAGCACAATGCTGACTGCAGAGTTTTCAGCCCAGCCCTTTGTTGAATGTGTTGGGGTAGTAGTACTGACAGAGAGTAAAGTGTCTTGCTAACCTTCTCTCATTGTACTTCCAAGCTCTGTATCATCAAATTAAAATAGTTACATTATTGTTTTAACTTTGGAAATGATTTTAATCAAGTCAGTCAGTCTCCTTAAGAGACAATCAGATTTCTTCCCTGCCTAATGGCAGAGAACAAACTCAAACACATCTCTGTTAACTTGACTCTTTGTCGTATAGTTGGCTAGGTATTCTTGGAAAATGTAGCAATTTATTTGGGAAAGAAGATTCAGAATCTTACTTTTGTCCTTGTAATCTTTTGATCTGGACTTAGGTTTTTTTTATCAAATTAATTTTTGATTATAGATATACTTTTTAGTTTTATGATTCTCTTTCCTTGAAATATGTAGGTATGTTCTGCTATAGATAAGTTGGGTTAATCATGGTCTATAAATGATTCCTATGAGAAATTTTAAGAATATTTTAAATTAGTTTTTTTATAACATGGAATTACTACTGGGTCAGACACAAATAGTGTATTCACACCTAAGTCTTTCTCCTTTGGTATCACACTGGAGATTTTGGCAGGCAGATGCTACCCTAGTCCCAGGATAAAACTAAGATGAAAAGCAGGCGTTTGCATTTTAGCAATGACAAAAGAAAATCTTATCAGAAAGCTGTTCCCATGTGGAGCTGATTCCTTGGAATCTGTTAAGCATTCTTCCCAAAATTAGAAACAAACCTATACGTTTAGGTACATGTTTGTACAGTGGTTTGATTATTAAATCTTGTCTTAATTAGGCAAAATGAAGACCAGAAAACTTCAAAGTACAAAGCTGATCTTCATAAGTTAACCCCTCTCAGCTTGGGTGTTTAGATTACTCAAGCAGATCTCCAGTTGGCTTTTTCCAGCTATGTATTCCATATGTTTAATCAAATAGCATATGCACTTTGGATATTCTCTTGATTTTGAAAATATTTTACCTGCCCTCAATTGTCTTAGGAAGCAGCAGAGACTGTTATAAAAGAAAACGTTGAGCCTCTATCCTATTTTGCAATATTCTTGATAGAGCCAGTAAGAAATGACTTGCTACTGTTCACCCTTCTTCTAAGGTATTGAGGATATTTATTTCGCATTGAGTCGGGGACATAATGAAGATATCCAAACTAATAAATATCCTTATAAGTATATTTATATGTATTCTACATAACCATATAAAAATCTCATTAGTAACAAATCACCATAGAAACTTATACCACTTCCTTATTACCATGGATGAATCTTTATTAAATCTATTCTCACTGGAGCCAAATAGTTGGTATCATGAAAACATGGTCCTTACTCAGACATTTATTAATGCAGGAAACACACTGTGAAAATATAGGTGTGACAATGATAGGATGGCTTTATATTTCATTCTCTTGCCTTTAGATGTTTTTTTATTTTTTGAGAAATTAATGAAGTAAAAAATGCAGTGAAAACAAAGAAAAAAATAAGTTGATTTATTAGTAAACCAAGTCAGATTAAATAAACACAGTTGGCCTTCCTGGTATGAAATGTGTAATGCTATGTCTAAATTGAAAAGAATCTTTAGAATATTTTGAAACATTCTCCTTGTTTTAGAAGCGTAAGTGATACAATAGAGTTCTATTTGTCATACTACTCTATAATATAAAAGTTATTATTAACCCTTCCAGATGACTCACCTTCCTATTGGCATATTCTTTAATGACATTTACATGGGATATGAGTGTGTCGTTAAGCTTATTTGTCTCATAACTATGTTGTGAAAACTCAGTGACTTATAGAAAGAACCTTGCAATGGGCTTATGTGATATTTGTATTGCTCTGTCCACCAGCAAATAATAGGCAAATACAAAGGAAAGTTCTCAGCTGGAGAATAAACCTTGTCAGAATGATTTATCTCTGCTCATAAGTTTGAATATTCTATTTTCACTGAAGGTATTCTGGGAAGTTGAATCACATGAAAAATAATCATAGTTTATAACATTTCTTCTTTTGTGTTTTGAGACATTTACATATTCAGAAATGTTCTAAACAATTTCTATTGCCAATACATGGCATGCTTGTACTATAAGGACTTAATATTTTGGTGTTTTCAAAAAATGAGTTTCTTCTGCAATAGCACCAATGAAGCATGGTACTTTTACCATTATATCTTTCTTATACTTTTCAAAAGAAAGAAGGGTTTTTAAAATGGAATATTCCCAAATTTACAAAAAAAGAAAAAAACTAATAAGGTATTGCTTTTGTTGTTTGAGGGCTCACTTCAAGTTTAATTACTGCATTTTTTTTGTTTTCCTGGTAAAATGAAACTGATTTAAAAAAGAAGACACCATATTTTCCTGAACAGATCAGTGATTCTAACCACTACCTAAAAAGCTAAAGGGCAACTCTTCAATCACATCACTGTCTGAATCATATGTAGGCATTTTCAACTATCATTCAGGTAAAATTGTTGAGTACTTTGACATAGATCTCTGCCATACCTTCCCACCCTGACAACTCCTTCCCTCTTGTGGTATTTATAGAATAGCCTTGATTTGTGGCTAGCAGTTTCTGTTTTAACTAGAATTTTAATATCATTTCTGTTGCTTAGGTTTTTTTTATATTTATCTTATATAATCTACTAAATTAGTTACTAGATTAGGAGATGTCTTCCTTTGTACTCACTTGAATAAACTGCTGAAATGCCTGTAATTGTTCAGCAAATTATTATTGCCTTCTTCCTTTGCATAGACACTGTTTTGGACACTAAAAAAATAGCATTCAATGTCCTCAGGAAACTTGTAGTGTGGAGAGCAAAGGGCAAACTACTCAAATAAACAGTAATACAATGTGTTCTGTATCAAGACAGAAAATATAAGAAAACAAATAAGCTTCTTTGAGGAAGTAATATTTGAGAAGTTTGTTGACTGTTTCATCCTTATAATATTATCTTTCTTCTTTTCCTTTTCCTTTTCCTTCCTTCCTTCCTTCCTTCCTTCCTTCCTTCCTTCCTTCCTTCCTTCCTTCCTTCCTTCCTTCCTTCCTTCCTTCCTTCCTTCCTTCCTTCCTTCCTTGCTTCCTTGCTTCCTTGCTTTCTTTCTTCTCTTTTCAATATGCTCTGTGATAAATATCTTATGCATTCCTATGACTGGAAATGAGCCAACACTTTTGAAAAAGCATATATAAATCTTGAGATGATATCTTATAGATGTCAAGGTTCAGTCTAGATATAAGTATTTATTATATATTTATTACTATGATGCTTAGACATTTTGACACAAGCATTATTTTATCATAATAAAAATATATCTAAGACAAGACCAGTAAATGGGAGGCCAAGCAGATGGCCCATGTTGATCTAACTTAAGCAGGTAGATGTTATACCCTGACAAGTAAGGCAGAATATAATTATGCTCACATGCTGGATCTGAGAAAATAGGGAGCTTCTATTAGTTTTTAGTGAAAGAAGTTGACCCTTTTTGAGTAGTGCAATCTTTATTTACTGTTTTTCAAAGTAATTTTCTGATATCAGTATTACCTATTTTTCATATCCCATCATGACTCATACCCATGTTCTATCCCCAACCATTCATCCGCAGCAATTCAGGAAATTACATTCTTCAATGCCTGTGGCCACTTACAAATGTAGAATAGTTGTATGTATTTTCTTGTAAAATGCTCCTGAAGAATGCTCTAACATAGAACTATTGTGTACACTCAAAAAATATATGTTTTTTCAGAACTGATTCAAAGAACAATTCTGTAGGTATGTGTAGTCCAACAAAACATTTACATTCTTGAAGTCATAATTCATATTCCTGATCATCAGATAATATA